TTAGATGTCAGCCTCGAGATCATTTTGTATATTGTGAGGAAGATTGGACAAAGAAACCCCCACTCTTTACAGTGTGCCACTCAGACACCCCACTCTTTACAGGGAGCCACTCAGACACCCCACTCTTTACAGGGAGCCACTCAGACACCCCCACTCTTTACAGGGAGCCACTCAGACACCCCACTCTTTACAGGGAGCCACTCAGACACCCCACTCTTTACAGGGAGCCACTTAGACACCCCACTCTTTACAGGGAGCAACTCAGACACCCCCACTCTTTACAGGGAGCCACTCAGACACCCCACTCTTTACAGGGAGCCACTCAGACACCCCACTCTTTACAGGGAACCACTCAGACACCCCCACTCTTTACAGGGAGCCACTCAGACACCCCACTCTTTACAGGGAGCCACTCAGACACCCTCACTCTTTACAGGGAGCCACTCAGACACCCCCACTCTTTACAGGGAGCCACTCAGACACCCCACTCTTTACAGGGAGCCACTCAGACACCCTCACTCTTTACAGGGAGCCACTCAGACACTCCACTCTTTACAGGGAGCCACTCAGACACCCCACTCTTTACAGGGAGCCACTCAGACACCCCACTCTTTACAGGGAGCCACTCAAACACCCCACTCTTTACAGGGAGCCACTCAGACACCCCACTCTTTACAGGGAGCCACTCAGACACCCTCACTCTTCACAGGGAGCCACTCAGACACCACACTCTTTACAGGGAGCCACTCAGACACCCTCACTCTTTACAGGGAGCCACTCAGACACCCCACTCTTTACAGGGAGCCACTCAGACACCCTCACTCTTTACAGGGAGCCACTCAGACACTCCACTCTTTACAGGGAGCCACTCAGACACCCCCACTCTTTACAGGGAGCCACTCAGACACCCCCACTCTTTACAGGGAGCCACTCAGGCACCCCCACTTTTTACAGGGAGCTCACTTAGGACCACCACCCCACTCTTTACAGGGAGCCACTCAGACACCCCCACTCTTTACAGGGAGCCACTCAGGCACCCCCACTCTTTACAGGGAGCCACTCAGACACCCCACTCTTTACAGGGAGCCACTCAGATACCCCACTCTTTACAGGGAGCCACTCAGACCCCCACTCTTTACAGGGAGCCACTCAGACACCCCACTCTTTACAGGGAGCCACTCAGACACCCCACTCTTTACAGGGAGCCACTCAGCACCCCCACTTTTACAGGGAGCCACTTCAGACACCCACTCTTTACAGGGAGCCACTCAGACACCTCACTCTTTACAGGGAGCCACTCAGACACCCCACTCTTTACAGGGAGCCACTCAGACCCCCCACTCTTTACAGGGAGCCACTCAGACACCCACTCTTTACAGGGAAGCCACTCAGACACCCCACTCTTTACACGGAGCCACTCAGACACCCCACTCTTTACAGGGAGCCACTCAGACACCCCCACTCTTTACAGGGAGCCACTCAGACACCCCACTCTTTACAGGGAGCCACTCAGACACCCCACTCTTTACAGGGAGCCACTCAGACACCTCACTCTTTACAGGGAGCCACTCATATACCCCACTCTTTACAGGGAGCCACTCAGACACCCCACTCTTTACAGGGAGCCACTCAGACACCCCACTCTTTACAGGGAGCCACTCAGAAACCCCACTCTTTACAGGGAGCCACTCAGACACCCACTCTTTACAGGAGCCACTCAGAAACCCCACTCTTTACAGGGAGCCACTGAGTACACCCCACTCTTTACAGGGAGCCACTCAGAAACCCCACTCTTTACAGGGATCCACTCATACACCCAACTCTTTACAAGGAGCCACTCAGACACCCTCTCCTGTTAGTACCATCTCTGATCTTACGTCTAAGACTTCTTTATCAGGATGAAGATTTGTTTACTATCCTCACTTTTATAGTGGACCACAACCGTGCCGACTCTTCTCGAAGACCTTCAAGAATCTAAACATACATACAACTATACTGTACTGTTGAGCATTATCATCCCATTGTTGTATATGAACCACAGAAAACCGGTAATTTTAGGTCATTCATGACTTTTGTTGCAAAATCCATATTGTGTTGGTATGAGTTAACCATTTTTAGGGACAATTAGACACCATTCATGTCCCATAAATGTCTCATTTTTACTAGAAATTGAGAGGACGAACGTTTGAAGGGGCACAAAACTTATTCCCTCTATCTTTTTAACTATGGAGATAACATTTGCCTATGTTTCAACATCTATCCTATTCTTTTTACTAGCAAGCTTAACATCATCATTTAGAGGGTAAGCGACTAGGTATCACCTCTTTTAAAGACCATGGCAGGTATCCTCCGATCTGCTAGATTGTTAACATTCCATCTTTACGAGGAGCATCTTATATCACGTCTCAATCTCTTTTTCAGCATTCATCATTTACGGGCATCAGGACTTGAAAACAAACTAGTACGGGGACATTGGATACTTTTAGCTGTAAATAGACACCCCGAGATTCGAGTTGAGTTTAGACGCCATACCTCTGTTACATGTTGTTACACGTTCGCACCTTAGCTCTGTTCGTTGTTTGCCCTTTCTTCCCCCTGACGTATCTGTACAGGAACGTTTTGGATCACCCTTGATGTTCTTTACAGGATTCCATCTTTTAAAATTCTCGTTTAAGCCACTCTGACTCCTATCTTGTTTTCTATCCACTAGAACCTCGATTTAGTAATATGGTCGTCAAACCACTCTTTAGGTCCATCTCGTAACCAATTTTCTTAGGACATCATTTTTTTTTCTTACCATGGTTTAACCAGTTGTCTCGTCAACTCCCATCTTTGGACACTGTTTTATTATCTTGGTAGTTATCCATCTCGATACTTAGAACCATTTGTTTTAATTTGCTAAACATTCCTACATTACTGTATTTAGGCAGTTCGATGCAATTACACTTACTGGAAACTTAACGCATCTTATCAAAGGGACTTTTTAGGTAGTTCGGAATCTCGTGAGTCTTTCTGGATTTCAAAGTCTGGTTTTTTGAATTGATGGATGATTTTTGTGTTCTAGTTTCTTCTTTACCTCCGCATAATCTTATAGGGGTACCCTGAGACCTCCAAAATCTAAATATACTAAATACACTGTCTGTTGAGACATTTTCATCCCAGTTGTTGTATATGAAACAGAAAAATCCTAGTAATTTTGTCATTCATGATCTTTTGTTGCAAAATCCATATTGGTTTTGGTTATGAGGTTATTATTTTTAGACAATTAACTATCATGTCCCATATAATAGTCTCCATTTTTTACCTGAAATTGACTTTAAGTTGAGAGGACGAGAGTTGAGGGGCACAAAACTTATTCTCTTTTTTTAAATATGGAGATAACTTTTGCTAGTTTCAAATCTATTGCTATTTTTTTACCTTGCAATTGCTTAAATATCATCATTAGAGGGTAAGCGACTAGGTATCAACATTCTTTTAAAACCATGGCAGGTATTTCCTCCGATCTGCTAGATTTGTTAACATTCATCTTCTCCGAGTAATTCATTATATCACGTCTGCTAATTTCTTTTTCCATTCTCAGTTTACGGGCATCAGGACTTGAAAACAAACTAAGCAGCCTGGGGAAGTTGGTGTCGTGTTTAGCTGTAAATAAACACCCGAGATCTGAGTTGAGTTTAGACGCCATACCCTTGTTATTGTTTGTTTATCTACCGTTTTCGCTACTTAGTGCTTGTTGTTTTTGCCCTTTCTTTCCCCTGACGTATCTGAAGAACTGTTTTGGATCACCTTTGATGTTCTCTACATTTCATCTTTTAAATTCTCGTTTACCACTTCTGATCCATTTCTTGTTTTCTATCTGTAACCTCGTGTAGTTAATATGGTCGTCAAAGTTACTAGTCAATTTAAATTTCTTAGTTACATCATTTTTTTTCTTACCTATGGTTTTAACCAGTTGTCTCGTCATCTCATCATCTTTGTCACGTTTTATTTTTCTTGGTATGTTATCCATCTCGATACTTAGAACATTTGTTTTAATTTGCTAAACATTTCCTCTACATTATCTGTATTTAGCAGTTCGATGCAATTAACATTACTGAAATCTTAACGCATCTTATCAAAGGGACTTTTTATATAGTTCGGAATCATCGTAGTGTTATTCTGGATCTTCAAATCTGTGTTTATTTTGAATTGAATGCTGTGATTTTTTGTGTTCTAGTTTCTCTTCTACCTCGCATAATCTTATAAGGTGTAGCCTGAGACGAGATCCAAAATAATGTTGCTCCGGGTAAATGAAGTGAGAGTTTGTGCTAGAAAGTTGTTCTGTGATACTGATGAGTCTGGCGACCTCCTGGTTCTTTGATAAAGTGCCACAGTTGACGTTAGGCACGTTAAAGTCGCCGTCACCAATTGTGGATACTAAGCACCATCACCAGTTGTGAGTCACATAGAAGCCATCACCAGTTGTGGGTCGCTGAACACCATCACCAGTTGTGAGTCACTAAGCATCATCAACAGTTGTGGGTCACAGAAACCATCAACAGTTGTGGGTCACAGAAACCATCAACAGTTGTGGGTCACAGAAACCATCAACAGTTGTAGGTCACATAGAAACAATCAATAGTTGTGGGTCACATAGAAGCCATCACCAGCTGTGAGTCACATAGAGACCAACACCAGCTGGCAACAAGTGATCAAGTAATAGGAGAGTGTGACTCTTAAAACTATAGGTAGCCTTCTAATTTTAATGTTGACGATAAGGTCTGTGTTATATCTCTGAGGTACGATAACTTATATTTTCTGTCCTTATTCTGTAACAAAAGAGCAAGTTTCTCAACAATTGACGGTTGTCTTTATAGCATCATTACCAATGTAGCTTGTTTGGCTAACAGTACCTTGGGATCCAGTCCCTGAACCTGTTATGTATCTCTGTGGGATACGTAATAAAGCTATTTAACTAACTTGTAAGTTTTTAAAATGTAAAGACTGTGATTACTTCTCAGAGACGGGAAAGGAGTGGACACCCGCTTCACTTATCAACCCGGATGAATTGGGAGACTATTTTGAGGGAGATATCAAGGGACCGGTGCCAGAAATCCTCAGGAATGGACTCATTGACGAAAAGTACCGATGGGTCGATGGAGTCGTCACTTACGAATTTGACAGCCTTTTCGGTGAGCACCGCCATCCGTGAATTCGATTTTCTTGTTCGGATTTTTGTTTATGTTTAATTTAAATAGGTTCAGAATAATTTACTGAACACTGATCTCTTTGAAAAATCAGCCTATTAGAGATGTCAACAGCAGTGTATGTCTCAACTTAAAACTTTATCCTTGACATAAATGATGCGACACTGCATGGCTGAGTAGCTGATGATTTAAGGGCGGTAGTCCAGAAAGCTATGGACGAGTACGCAGTGCTGACAAGTGACTGCATCACCTTCGTTGAGAGAACGACAGAAGATGACTATATATTGTTTACTCATGAGTAAGTTAACTCCTGTTCGTATACCAATGAAGGCCAGTTATCAAAACTTGGAGAACCAGACAGGATAAATTTTCTGTGCATCATGGCCCTAGCGATCATGAGCATGAAGAACATAAATTAATTTAAGAAATATCCTATTGTTGACCTAGTATATCTCATCTTACAAACAAAGTGACCCAGTCGGTACTCGAACTGCCCCTGTTCACTTAGCAGTAAACAGTTACCTGGGTACATTAATGTTCTTTAGGTTAGGTCATTCACTAATACGAGCTGAATTAGGATAACAAGTCTTAGCCTGCAAATTCAGCTGTGTTGAAGGATAAATAAAATTATTATACCATATTTTCTTTTTCTTAAAGCAATGAAGATGGGTGTCACAGCTATGTTGGGAAAATAGGTGGCAGTCAGCAGATCAACTACCCAGACTGGTGCTTGGCGTCGTACGGCTCAGTACAGCACGAGATGTACCACGCCCTCGGCTTCCACCATGAACAGTCTCGCACTGACAGAGATGACTATGTCACTATTATGTGGGAGAATATCGAGAGTGGTATGTTGTACCATACTTTTGTTTCTCTTTTAATTGTGTAACTTGAAATTACTTAAAATTGCCATCGATAGCAATGTTTTCTGTGGCTAAAGCTCCCGCTTCACACACGGAGGGCCCGGGTTCGATTCCCGGCGGGTGGAAACATTTCGACACGTTTCCTTACACCTGTTGTCCTGTTCACCTAGCAGCAAATAGGTACCTGGGTGTTAGTCGACTGGTGTGGGTCGCATCCTGGGGGACAAGATTAAGGACCCCAATGGAAATAAGTTAGACAGTCCTCGATGACGCACTGACTTTCTTGGGTTATCCTGGGTGGCTAACCCTCCGGGGTTAAAAATCCGAACGAAATCTTATCTTATCTTATCTTAAATAAATGTACCATCTTTCGTACTCTCAGGTTACGAACATAACTTCAACAAGTACTCCGCTGATGTGATTAGCGGCTTTGGAGAGGATTATGACTATGGCTCTGTGATGCATTATTCCGCCTACGCTTTCTCTGCTAATAATGAAAAGACGATCGTAACTTTGGTAAGGTTGACTGGTATAATTGTTTCATTGTGAAATTATGGAAGATTAAGTCACTGGTTAACAATCACTCGAGTCAGAAGGATTCTCCTACTTGTATATGAACGAATCGTGGAATTAAAAACATAATCTCTGTAAAGGTGACGAAGATCCTGCATCACTAGCACAGCTCTGGGATGTCCAGTTTAGTGTTAATAATATGACAGGTAATATCGACAGTGAATTATCTCATAGCCTATATTCTGACTGATTAGAGGCAAACAACCTAGGTAACCAAACTGAACATCTTCATTAAATATAATTCATATACAGTAACATTCCTGCCTTGCTTGTTACATGTTGTATTAATAACACAAACGACCCTCATTAAGAACTATAACAAGCAATATTCTCCTTACAACAGCAGCTCACTCCAACAATCATCAGTTTCACAATAGTGATTATTCCACTGTTCGTTACCATTTGCATTTTTGTCTTTCAAATTTAATTTGCTTTCTATAAATTACGTTACAGTTTCGTTTCTGTCTTAAGTGTGAGATTACCAAGTTCCTTTAAGAAGTTACTTGATGTTATTTACACCTTTATGACCGACGTCCAGCACAGTTAAAATTTTATTTTTTTCATCTCTTTTCAAAAACAAGAGAATACCTCCTCTGATAGGCTTCAAACTTTTTTTTTTTTTTTTGCTTAAAGAAAAAGATTCATTATTACTGAGCTGTGTAAGTCCCAATTTGCTAATTTCACAAAGCAAACAGGGACACTGGTTTCCTTGCTATGACTGGAGAATACTTCATCCGATAGGCTTCAAACCATCATATTTAGTGGAAGGTTCAGATGGGTTTTGAGACATGTAGTTGCCCAATTTGCCAGTTTCTATGAAGGAACTGAAATATTGGTTCTGCAGGAAAACTTATAAGTGTTTCTTGGGATCTGCTTCCAACTTCACTACTGATCTATGTTAAAGTTCCAAGTCTTGTTGTTACTAACAATTTGCTATGTTAAGTTTTAACTCCTCAGCTTCCTGTGTCTCGTAGCTCAGTTTTCTCAAAATAATAAAAAAAAAGATCTTACAGGCTCGCAAGTATTTTAAAATGGAATATAACTGTGGTAAGATAAAAAAAATGAATTATTATTATTTTATTATGATCATGAGGGAGCGCTAGACCCGTAGGATTATAAAGCGCATGTGGGGGGGGGATGGAAGGTATTCCGGCTCAATTCAGGGAACCGGAGCACAGATCCAGTTCCCTAGATCAAGAGCCCCTCAGCACCGTCAAGGAACCTCCCTTGAGGGGAAAAAATAAAATTTTCATGGCGTTTTGAAGTTTGACAAATTCGTAATATTCTCCTGACCACAAAATAAAAATTATATGCACTCTATTACTAATGAATATTTTTTTGTTCTTCCATAGTGTCTGGAATTCTATCAATTCATTATAATTGTGTTGAATATTAAATGTGTATCAGGGTGTGTTAGCATGTCAGACATGTACAGTGTATTGTGTTTCTTGGCTGTTTTGACTTCCTAAGAGCCTACGACACAAGTCGTAGGCTTCTTGAGTGTATTAAGATACAGGTCGTAGGCTTCCTGAGTATGTTAAAGGCTTCCTGAGTGTGTTAAGTTACAGGTCGTAGGCTTCTTGAGTGTGTTAAGGTACAAGTCGTAGGCTTCTTGAGTATGTTAAGGTACAGGTCGTAGGCTTCTTTAGCGTGTTAAGACACATTTCGTAGTCTTCTTGAGTGTGTTAAGATGCAGGTCGTAGGCCTCTTGAGTGCATTAAGATACAGGTCGTAATCTTCTTGAATGTGTTAAGATACAGATCGTAGGTTTCTTGAGTATATTAAGATACAGGTCGTAGGCCTCCTGAGTGTGTTAAGCTACAGGTCGATAGCTTCTTGAGTGTTAGGGTACAGGTCATAGGCTTCTTCAGTGTGTTAAGATACAAGTCATAGGCTTCTTGAGGGTGTTAAGATACAGGTTGTAGGCTTCTTGAACTTAGAGGTAGAACAATTTAAAATGTTGCAAGGTTGCAAATGTTAAAAAAAACTATTTTTTAAATTTATTATACAAGTAGACAATAGAAAAAACATAAATGGAACCTGTTTCAAAACATTTTGTAAGCATTAAAAGATAGAAATAGGAACTAGTTATCAACAATGACACATTGCAATGGGATACAACTTTCAAATGAAATGTTCCTGAGTTTCCTGAGAAAGAACAATTATTCTACGTCACTAATTTTTGCAATGAAACTTTATGAAGCAATTTCTATCCTTCTTGATGCATAGATTTACTTTGCATGTGGCACAGGAAAATGAGGATGTGACATGATCATCATGAAGATCTTCATCAGGGTACTCCTCCACCATAATACCTTTCTTCTTCTTCTTGTTCAATTTCTGCTTTTTGGATGGTGGCCTAGCTTCCTTTCCTCATCTGTTGACACCTCTGCATCTGGTGGCAAGTATTCATCATCACTGTCCACCAATTGCAGGTCATCTGGGTCTTGATCTGAGTCACTTTCGTCCCAAACACAGAAAAAATTTCGACTTATCCTTGGAGGACTTACCATAGAACAATTTCTGATTGGTCTGGAAGGACAATAAAAACATTCTGTACACACCCAGACCACTACTGAATTCATATATACGCTACAAAATTTTATGGAAATATTTATATACTGAAAGTTGAAAATAACACCTAAAGTGGCAGGTCAGAGTGTGCTCGGACCTGTTTTGTTGCACTTTTTTCATTTACATGGTGCACTCTTATTATGCTTCACAATGACTATGTATATATCAAAATATAGCTAAACTATTCAATTATGCAGTAGACATACAAATCAGTACTTACCGACATTGTAGAGGGTGAAGTGCAAGAGTATATGAGGAGCACTCGACGAAAAAAACGTGTCAGAGCGACGCCAAGCTAGAAGTGTTTACATTTTGCTCTCTCGATCAATGGAATGCAGGGAGAAGACATCCCCACTTAGCTGGAGCGACTCAGGGAAGGCTTCTGATTGGTCAGAAATAGAGAATGAGAACCCAGATGCATGGGGGGGGAGTAGAAGGACATGCACAAAAACCATGCATTCAGGTCCGAGTGTGCTCGGACCTGCCCCTTAAAGGGTTTTAAGATACAGGTCATAGGCTTCTTGAGTGTATTAAGATACAAGTTGTAGGCTTCTTTAGTGCATTAAGATACAGGTTGTAGGAGTCTTGAGTGCATTAAGATACAGGTTGCAGGCTTCTTTAGTGTATTAAGATACAGGTTATTACAACCCAGGAGTCTAAATGGCCTGTTATCCTGGGTGTAAAGGGAGCAAATAAACACAGCAGAAAACTTTTGACTTATATTATCCTTCACCAATTTAGAAATGAAGTATATACACTATGTACAGCAATAGGTATTAGTGCACTCCACGGTAAGCAAGGCAGAATAGAAGCCACTAGAGAGCAGACCGTGCTTCAACCAGCTCTAGAATGGGAATGATGAGGGCAGACAGGAGAGTGGTACCCACATAACCTCTGCTATTGCCAAAACCATCTTCTCATTGGCTGGAACCTGGGTACTGGTTGAACGATGGGGCCCCATCGTCAACCCTCAGTCACCTGGTTCGCTGGTTGGGGGAGATAGCCTGTAAATGAGGGTGTGTACATGTGCCGAATGAAGGTTACGTACTCTTTGCATGCCGCACAGGTCATAGGCTTCTTGAGTGTGTTAAGATACAGGTCGTAGGCTTCTTGAGTGTGTTAAGGTACAGGTTGTAGGCTTCTTGAGTGCATTAAGATACAGGTCATAGGCTTCTTGAGTGCATTAAGATACAGGTCGTAGGCTTCTTGAGTGTGTTACTGCACATACATGCTGCACCGTGATGAACCGAGTGTATTACTGTGTAAATATTTCGAGTTTAACTGTTGACTAAGTTTCAGTTCCTTCCCTAGTGAGGGCGCAGATGAACTGTTCCTGGGTCTTCTAATGGTGTCAAATTATAGGTATTTGGCTTCCTATGTGTGTTGGGTCTCTTGAAGGCGTTAATGTACACCTCCTGAACCTCTTGAAGGGTTGAGCTATAGATCCGCTGCCTCCTGAGAGTTTTGAAGCATATCTACTGTGCCTCTTATGGGCACTAAGGCACTTCAAGCTGTATTAAGATACAGGTTATTACAACCCAGGAGTCTAAATGGCCTGTTATCCTGGGTGTAAAGGAAGCAAAATAAACACAGCAGAAAACTTTTGACTTATATTATCCTTCACCAATTTAGAAATGAAGTATATACACTATGTACAGCAATAGGTATTAGTGCACTCCACGGTAAGCAAGGCAGAATAGAAGCCACTAGAGAGCAGACCGTGCTTCAACCAGCTCTAGAATGGGAATGACAAGGGCAGACAGGAGAGTGGTACCCACATAACCTCTGCTATTGCCAAAACCATCTTCTCATTGGCTGGAACCTGGGTACTGGTTGAACGATGGGGCCCCATCGTCAACCCTCAGTCACCTGGTTCGCTGGTTGGGGGAGATAGCCTGTAAATGAGGGTGTGTACATGTGCCGAATAAAGGTTACGTACTCTTTGCATGCCACACAGGTCATAGGCTTCTTGAGTGTGTTAAGATACAGGTCGTAGGCTTCTTGAGTGTGTTAAGGTACAGGTTGTAGGCTTCTTGAGTGCATTAAGATACAGGTCATAGGCTTCTTGAGTGCATTAAGATACAGGTCGTAGGCTTCTTGAGTGTGTTACTGTACATACATGCTGCACCGTGATGAACTGAGTGTATTACTGTGTAAATATTTCGAGTTTAACTGTTGACTAAGTTTCAGTTCCTTCCCTAGTGAGGGCGCAGATGAACTGTTCCTGGGTCTTCTAATGGTGTCAAATTATAGGTATTTGGCTTCCTATGTGTGTTGGGTCTCTTGAAGGCGTTAATGTACACCTCCTGAACCTCTGGAAGGGTTGAGCTATAGATCCGCTGCCTCCTGAGAGTTTTCAAGCATATCTACTGTGCCTCTTATGGGCACTAAGGCACTTCAAGCTGGGGTTATACGATACGGCCAACACTTCTTAAATAGCGCGGAAAATTGTCATACTTACCAAGTTATACACAGTTGCTTGTTGACTCAAGACCCTATTAAGATTAATTATATCTTTATATGAATTCATGTATGGAGTTAGCTTCCACTACTTCTACCACTTACACCACTGCCACTTGCCCTAATTCACTCTACTTCCTCCCTAACCTCACAGTGTCAAAATCTTAATGCTCTCTCAATCACTTGAGCTTCTTGTTACTGATTTTTTCCTAATGTTCCGTCTCATGTTATATAACCTCCAATTGCTTTCCTTGTCACTACGTCTAATTATCTGGCATTTTGTGACCATGTCTCCTCGTTTATCAAGCTTGTGTGTAGGTATGAATATTCTGGCTTTTGGAAGACTGAAGGTTACAGTATTGTTACAAAACAGTAGGTAACATGTGAATATTAGAATACAGCCCACGATCACATCATCCACTTCCCATTTCATGTTGTTCTCTCCACTAACACAAATCCAATCTCAGGATCCCGACGCAGTCATCGGCCAGCGAGAACATCTAAGCGAAGTCGACGTCAGAAAACTTATGAATATGTACAAGTGTTGAGTGTGAGGTGGAGGCTGATGAGAAGCTGGAGTGAGGCATCCTTGTGCAGCTGTGTGAGGCAGCAGCAGCAGCAGCAGCAGCAGCACGGAACAGAGAGCTGAGGACCCAACTCACTCTGCTGCTCGCAATGTCACTAATGTGGAGGCATGAGGAATATAATATCCGCAGTGGATTTACGATGTCAAAAAGTTATGAGCACTCATAAAACTAGAATAGTAAATAATGTGTATTTTATATCCTAAGTAGCAAATTATACTAAAGCGTGAAGTTAAAACTATTATTATTTTATTATTATTATTATTATTATTATTATTATTATTATTATTATTATTATTTATTATTATTATTGTGTGTGGTGTGTGTGTGTGTGTGTGTGTGTGTGTATGTGTGTGTGTATGTGTGTGTAGTCGCCTACATGTGGTTGCAGTGTCGAATCTCAGCTCCTGGCCCTGCTTCTTCGCTGGTCTCTGGGTTCACTCTTCCCTGGCTTCGACAGCCTTATCGTACCTCTTTTTAAAGCTATGTATGGATCCTGCCTCTACCACTTCATTTTCAATATCGTTCTACTTACTGACTACTCTGAGTTTTCAAATTCCAGCTATTAATCTTATTAATCCATCTGAGTTTTCAAATTCCAGCTATTAATCTTATTAATCCTATTAATCTTATCAATTCCTCTCAGTATTCTGTACATTATCATATCCTCCCTAGTCCTTCTGTGCTTCAATGTCATCGGACTGAGTTTCCTTAACCTCTTCTCCAATGACACACAGCTTAGCACCAGGACGAATCTTGTTGCAACCCTCTGCACTTTCTCCAGTTTCGCGATATACTTGGCCAGGTGTGGGTTCCATACTTGTTCTGCAGACTTCAATATGGGCCTGACGTACAGTGTTGTGAATGGCTACTTACTTAGATGTTGAAACTCTGTTGACAGGTTTGCCAGGAACCTGTATGGTGCAGCAGTTATTTGGTTGATGTGTGTCTTAGGAGATGTGCTTGATATGATGCTCATCCCAAGATCCTTTTCCTTTAGGGAGTTTTGCAGCGTTTAACCCCTTAGGCTGTACTCCGTCTGCGGTCTTTTTTGTTCTTCCCCGATCTTCATAATTTTGCACTTGCTGGAGTTAAACTCTAGGAGCCATTTGTTGGACGAGGCTTACAACCTGTCCAGATCTCCTTATAGGATTACCTGATCATCGACCACTTATGTTCTCATTAGTTAGTTACCATTTTGTCCTAGGCACATGTCGATTAGACACTAGGCCTGTTGTGTGTGTTTGTGTACTCACCTAGTTGTGGTTGTGTGTGTGTGTGTGTGCTCACCTAGTTGTGGTTGCTGGGGTTGAGTCACAGCTTCTGGCCCCGCCTCTTCACCTGGCCGCTACCTGGTCACTCTACCCGCTCCGTGAGCTTTATCATACCTCTTCTTAAAGCTATGTATGGATTCTGCCTCCACTACATCACTACCCAGGCTATTCCACTTCCTGACAACTCTGTGGCTAAGAAATACTTCCTAACGTCCCTGTGATTCATCTGAGTCTTCAGCTCCCAACTGTGACCCCTCGTTCCTATGTCCCATCTCTGGAACATCCTGTCTCTGTCCACCTTGTCTATACCTCTCAGTATTTTATATATCGTTATCATATCCCCCCTAACTCTCCTGTCTTCCAGTGTCGTCAGGTCGATTTCCCTTAACCTCTCCTCGTAGGACATTCTCCTTAGCTACGGGACTAGTCTTGTTGCAAACCTTTGCACTTTCTCTAGTTTCGTTACTTGCTTAGCTAGGTGAGGGTTCCAAACTGGCGCTGCATACTCCACTATGGGCCTAACGTACACGGTGTACAGGGTCCTGAATGACCCCTTATTTAGATGTCAGAATGCTGTTCTTAGGTTTGCTAGGCGCCTGTATGCTGCAGCAGTTATTTGGTTGATGTGCGCTTCAAGAGATGTGCCTGGTGTTATACTCACACCAAGATCCTTTTCCTTGAGTGAGGTTTGTAGGCTATGGCCCCCTAGACTGTACTCCGTCTGTGGTCTTCTTTGCCCTTCCTCAATTTTCATGACTTTGCACTTGGTGGGGTTGAACTCGTCTTTGAGGTGTCTAACTCGCTCAGCAGCCTCTTCACTTCTTCCTCGGTTGTATGTATTGTGTCCAACACTTGGTGGTGTACCCCACCTCTCCGTCTATCTGGAGCCCCTTCTGTCTCCTCTGTGATCACTTCTTTGAATCTCCTTTTGATTTCCTCGCATACTTCGCAGTCGTTTTTTGTGATCTCTTCTCCTTCCTTCCTTAGCTGATTACCTGGTCCTTTACTGTTGCTTTCCTCCTGATGTGGCTGTACAACAGCTTTGGGTCAGATTTGGCTTTTGCTGCTATGTCATTGTCAGATTGTCGTTGGGTCTCCCTTCTTACCTGTGCATATTCATTTCTGGCTCTACGACTGCTCTCCTTATTCTCCTGGGTCCTTTGCCTTCTATACTTCTTCCATTCCTCAGCACGCTTGGTTTTGGCCTCCCTGCACCTTTGGGTGAACCAAAGGTGCAGGGAGGCCAAAACCAAGTGTGCTAGGGAATGGTGTGTGTGTGTGTAGTGTGTGTGTGTGAGTGTGTACTCACCTAATTGTACTCACCTAATTGTGGTTGCAGGGGTCGAGACTCAACTCCTGGCCCCGCCTCTTCACTGATCGCTACTAGGTCCTCTCTCTCTCTCTCTCTGCTTCCTGAGCTTAAGGTTTACTATACTAATAGCAGGAGTGTAAGAAATAAGATAGATGAGCTAAGATTAATTGCAAGTGCAGGAAACATAGATATTATTGCTATAACAGAGACCTGGCTCAATCTGAAGGATAGAGAGATGCCCTCTGAATGTCACATACAAGGCTATAAATTATTCCACACTGACAGGGTCAACAGGAAAGGTGGTGGAGTAGCGATGTATGTCAGAGACAATTTAAATTGTTGTGTTAGACAAGATATTAAATTAGAAGCGTCAGCCACTGAATCTGTTTGGTTACAGCTTCTCGAGGGCCGAGAAAAACTAATTTTGGGTGTGATTTACAGGGCCCCAAATCTTGATAGGGAGTGCAGTAAACTTCTATGGGACGAAATTCGTAAGGCATCTACATACGAAAATGTTGTGCTAACGGGAGATTTCAACTATAGACAGATTGACTGGAGCAATTTGACAGGAAATTTAGAGTCAGGTGACTTTCTTGATACGATCCAGGATTGTTTTTTAAAACAGTTTGTGACAGAGCCAACTAGGGGAAATAACCTCCTTGACTTGGTTCTTGCCAGTAGGGAAACACTAATTAATAATCTTGAGGTTAATGATGAGCTTGGGGAAAGTGATCACAAATCACTCAGTTTTAATATATCATGGAATTCCCCTAATAATGGCAATCAAGTCTCCGTCCCTGACTTTCGCTTGGCTGATTTCATAGGACTGAAAAATTACTTAGGTGGGCTGAACTGGAATGACCTGACTAAGGGTCAGGTAGGTGGTGATGGTTGCCGATATGATGCTTTCCAGGGCATAGTTCTAGCTGCTCAGTCAAATTATGTTCCAAATAGGGAAATCAGATCAAACAAAAATGATCCTAAATGGATGAACAATAGATTAAAATATCTGATTGGTCAAAAGAGAGGCATATATAGGCAAATCAAAAGAGGAGAGGGGCAATTGAGAAATCGATATATTCAGTTAAAGAGAGAAATAAAAAAGGAATTAGAAAAGCAAAAAGAGATTATGAGGTTAAAGTTGCAAGAGAATCGAAGACTAACCCAAAAGGATTCTTTCAGGTATACAGAAGTAAGATCAGGGACAAGATAGGCCACTCAAAAGTTCCTCGGGTCAGCTCACTGACAGTGATAAGGAAATGTGTAGAATTTTTAACACATACTTCCTCTCAGTTTTTACACAGGAGGATACCAGCGATATTCCAGTAATGATAAATTATGTAGAACAGGACGATAAAAAAACTGTGCACTATTAGGGTCACAAGTGACATGGTCCTTAGGCAAATAGATAAATTAAAACCTAACAAATCCCCAGGCCCTGATGAACTGCATGCAAGGGTTCTAAAAGGGAATGTAAAGAGGAGCTTAGCACACCTTTGGGTAATCTTTTCAACATATCACTACAAACTGGCAATGGTGCCAGATAAGTGGAAAATGGCAAATGTGATACCTATTTTCAAAACAGGTGACAGGTCCTTAGCTTCGAACTATAGACCAATAAGCTAACCTCCATAGTGGGAAAATTTATGGAATCAATATTGCCGAGGCAGTTCGTAGCCACCTTGAAAAGCATAAATTAACAACGAATCTCAGCATGGTTTTACAAAGGGGCGTTCCTGCCTTACGAATTTATTAACTTTTTTCACTAAGGTATTTGAGGAGGTAGATCATGGTAATGAATATGATATTGTGTATATGGACTTCAGTAAGGCTTTTGACAGGGTCCCACATCAGAGACTATTGAGGAAAATTAAAGCACATGGAATAGAGGAGAGATTTTTTTCCTGGATAGAGGCATGGTTGACAAATAGGCAGCAGAGAGTTTGCATAAATGGGGAGAAATCAGAGTGGGGAAGCGTCACGAGCGGTGTTCCACAGGGGTCAGTGTTGGGCCCCTGCTGTTCACAATCTACATAAACGACATAGATGAGGGCATAAAGAGCGACATCGGCAAGTTTGCCGATGACACAAAATAGGCCGTCGAATTCATTCTGACGAGGACATTCGAGCACTCCAGGAAGATTTGAATAGACTGATGCAGTGGTCGGAGAAGTGGCAGATGCAGTTTAATATAGACAAATGCAAAGTTCTAAGTGTTGGACAGGACAATAACCATGCCACATATAAACTAAATAATGTAGATCTTAATATTACGGATTGCGAAAAAGATTTAGGAGTTCTGGTTAGCAGTAATCTGAAACCAAGACAACAATGCATAAGTGTTCGCAATAAAGCTAATAGAATCCTTGGCTTCATATCAAGAAGCATAAATAATAGGAGTCCTCAGGTTGTTCTTCAACTCTATACATCCTTGGTTAGGCCATCATTTAGATTATGCTGCACAGTTTTGGTCACCGTATTACAGAATGGATATAAATTCTCTGGAAAATGTACAAAGGAGGATGACAAAGTTGATCCCATGTATCAGAAACCTTCCCTATGAGGATAGACTAAGGGCCCTGAAACTGCACTCTCTAGAAA